GGAGCACTTCGACCTAACAGAATGGATAAGGGTCAAAGAAGGAACTTCAAAGAAAAATCCCGAGTAAGAGCGGAAAGGAGAAACGAAACAAAGCCGTCACCTGTTGGGCCATAAATCCTGCGAAATGCTGACCAGGTACGACACTCTTCAACTAGCGGAATTAATGTTCCTATCCACGACCTAATATCGACGACCGCATCGGGAGTGCGAGCTTCCACTACACAAGGATAGAAAAGGAAATAAGAGAAATTTTCGGAGGTAGCTAGGCTAGTAACATAAAGATCGCCATAAAAAGCACATATAGTATTCCACGCCTTTGGGAATCCCTCTGGGTTAGACACCAGGTGCTCGGTACGGATGTAGAAGAACTTCTTCCAAAACTGGCGATTAGCCTTGTCATCTGACTGCACCACGAAGTTCTGCTTAGCACAGCGTACCAACTGAAGCATGGTACCTCTCATGTAGCCCGTTTTCCACATTTGCAAAAGATGGTGGACGGTGACCTCCACATTGGCCTTAGCCGCATAAGTGGTAAGCATCTCGCACGCTTTCAACGCATATGGGGTGAGCAGGGCAGGGCACACCCCGTAAAAACGGCAAAGCTCCTCCGCCAAAGGGTTGATTGGAAGGCTGTACCCAATTCCAAAAGCGTACTCGTAAAACGTACAATATCCAGGCCGGTGTACATTGGCATAATCCATCCCGGCGGGGACCATCTCGACATGGTTGGGAATATTGAATGACGTCCTGAGGGCGTCGAAAAGGGACATCATTACCTCACTAGGCTCCCAAGGACAAGGTTTTCTCGTGGTGTTAAAATCCTTCCGCACATTCAGGTTTCGAGGAAGTACATTAGACGGCATTAAAGGAACGAAGACCTCCTCGGCCTCTTCCTCCCCACTATCGGAGGACGACGAAACCCTAGAACGGAGGTTGTTTTTGGTCTTCTTACTATCACGGCTATGTTTCACCATGGTGAGAATATGAGAGTAGTGTTTCAAAGGTACAGAGTTCGATTCCCAGGAATAAAAGTTTCGAACAGATCTACAAACACCAGAAGCGGAGGAAAATAAAGTCAAGGAGAAAATTTTCCAAAAAGGTTCGAAAGTTGGATCAAATTCAACCTCTTCCCTATTTATAAAAAGAAGAGTGCACGACAATCAAAAAGGCACAGTCCGAAGACTGGCGCAGGAAACCAAAACATCATGTCACGACCTGCAACGCCTCGAAAGCCGAAAAAATGATAACACGTGTGATCAATGACGTCATCTGAAAAGAAAACCCAAACGAGAAGCAACCTGTCAATGGTATAATTCCTTCGCATGAGTGCACGCCTTTTTATAGAAAATACCCACAAGCACGATCAAATTTTAGGGGAGGTCGCAAACGCATATCCGTTCATTGAAGACCTTTCCCAACTATGTCTCCAATAAATGGAGGGACTATCTGTATTGGGCAAATTTGGCTCCCCACGTCCTTACACTACATAGGCAAATCCTTGTCACATATGTCGGCCCCGTCAAGGACGGTCTAAGCAGGGACGGCCCAAGCAATGATGGCTCGGGTAAGACCGACCTCAACAACAAGGTGGCCCAATTGACAAGACCCAAGATGGTGCTGTTTAGAGCTCTAACTCGTTCCTACACTGAGGCCACTAACTTCTGTACTTTTATTTTAGTATTTCGAGGGAGGCTCCTAGTATATAAAGGAGACCGCCACCCATTTTGTAGGGACTCATGTATATTTGGATATCTAGAATATACAACTCTGATTCTCTCTCTACTTCTCTTTCTACTTCTCTATCTTGCATAAACTATAATCATTGATATAGTTTATCTTGTTATCTTTATATGTTTGGAATACTTAGCTCAAAGCTATCGTCGATCTAATCTCAACATTAATCTCTAAGGCTTATTATATTTGGTTCCGATTTACCCTCTTTTCATAAGATTGATTGTTATTTGATCTCAACAAGCATCCGTATAGCTTTTAGCCAAATAGTCATTAATGTTAGTTTGATGATCAAGCATAAAAGTTACTAATTGATTGAAAGGTTCAGATAAGCACCATTTCTTTCGGACTATATCATTATATGTCTGATTTTATAAGGTCTCCTATATTTTATAACATCTAAACAGTTTTCATCTTCGATTTTGATAGTTACTCTTTAATTATCAAAGAGAGTTAAGATGAGTCCCATGACTGAGATATGTATCGTGTCAAGATCATGAATCGAACAAGATCGAAACATTTAGCTGTCGACGGACAAAGTTGGAATGTCGACCGCAAATGAAGGATGTCCAGGCCCTGGTTATTTTGTTTTAGTTCTTTGCCTTATGCATACTACTACTGTTCATTTAAGTTATGGTGCTATTTTTTGTGCATTATAAATCCATGAACATCTTAAGTGTAGCCCATAAGCATTGGTTGTAACTTCATTTATTTATGTAAACAAAAATAAAAAATTAAAGAGCAAAGTAACTCATGAGCTGAACATATCCTAAATGTCTCCATTTAATTCAGAATTGAACGTGAGATGTCGACATTTCTCTTTGCTCTGTAGTTGTGATATGAATTCATATGATATACTAGATATTTTGATGACAAAAAATAGAGTGATCTTTTGCTGGCGAGCTGGTGGTATGCATGGTGGTTGACAAATTTTGTTGCATTACATCATTATAACGACTTTTAGATAGTTCTTGTTTAATCTGATCATTTGGTTTTGTATTTTTCTAGTTGCTATTTAATTTTTTTTAGATGGTTGTAGAAAGTGATTCTCTTTATATGCAAATAACCCGCTTGTTTAAACTTGATTACAGAATCAACATTAAAGAATGTGTTATCTCTTTGTTCTAATAAACAGTTGAACTCAAGAGGGTTGATTTGCTCAGCTTATGATAAGATAAGTTTATCTGTGTTGAACTGCTGATACCAGAGACCGAAGAAGGTAGCATATAAGAAGAGCATCATGTTGTTGTATTTTGGTGTTATAATTGATGCTTATCCACTTTTAGTTCATTAGATGTAGTACTAGGAAAAAGAATGCAAATTCTATATATTTTTTTACTTATAGGTCGCAAAAATTTAGTTTAACAACTTTTTAAGGTGCTTTACATGTTGGGCTTGTGCTGGCACGAGCCATGCCCCATCTAGTGAATAAATAAGGGAATTTTTACCTCCTTTAGCAAAGGTTAATACCTTATTTATTTTAAATAAATATCATTTAAAAAAATTATATTCTAGAGATACCTTTTAACGTTTATAGCAAAATATCTAATTTTGGTTACCTCCTACCCTTAAGCCACTCAATACGTTATTACAACAACAACAACAACCCAGTAAAGTCCCACATAGTGGGGTCTGGGGAAGGTAATGTGTACGCAGACCTTACCCCTGCCCCGATAGGGCGGAGAGGCTGTTTCCGATAGACCCTCGGCTCAGAGCGGTGGGAATAGAAGAGAAGAAGAAAGACAGGAAAAGAAAAGAAAAGAGAATTCATTAGTAACTTCAGTAAAACCATTATAGTAACAGAAGCATAAAAAATAGAAATAAATAATAATAATAATAGAGAATTCATTAGTAACTTCAGTAAAACCATTATAGTAACAGAAGCATAAAAAATAGAAATAAATAATAATAATAATAGAGAATTCATTAGTAACTTCAGTAAAACCATTATAGTAACAGAAGCATAAAAAATAGAAATAAATAATAATAATAATAGAGAATTCATTAGTAACTTCAGTAAAACCATTATAGTAACAGAAGCATAAAAAATAGAAATAAATAATAATAATAATAGAGAATTCATTAGTAACTTCAGTAAAACCATTATAGTAACAGAAGCATAAAAAATAGAAATAAATAATAATAATAATAGAGAATTCATTAGTAACTTCAGTAAAACCATTATAGTAACAGAAGCATAAAAAATAGAAATAAATAATAATAATAATAATAATAATAATAATAATAATAATAATAATAACAATAATAATAATAATAATAATAATAATAAAATGACAGATGAATTATATGCAGTAACAGTAACCAGAGTCTATGCATCTAAGACAAACCTCAAGAATAGTGTGGGTCCCACATAAACTACAAGTCATCTAGGATCAACTCTAATCCAACCCTGCCTCACCCCCAGAATGCAAAAGGGAAGCACAATTACCCTTATCCTACAACTCTAATGTTTATCCTCCATGTCTTCCTATCAAGGGCCATGTCCTCGAAAATCTGCAAATGAACCATGTCCTGCCTGATCACCTCTCTCCAATTCTTCTTAGGTCTCCCTCTACCTCTTCTCATACCCACCACTGCCAACAGCTCGCATCTCCTTACCGGGGCATCGATGTTTCTCCTCTGCACGTGCCCAAACCATTTGAGCCTCGCTTCCCGCATCTTGTCATCCACAGCAGCGACGCCCACCTTCCTTCGAATATCTTCATTCCTGATCTTGTTTATCCTAGTGTGACCACACATCCACCTCAGCATCCGCATCTCCGCTACTTTCAACCTCTGGATATGGGAGTTCTTAACTGGCCAGCACTCTGCCCCGTACAGTATAGTCGGTCTAACCACAGCTATATAAAACTTACCTTTGAGTAACGATGGCACTTTTTTATCACACAGGACTCCAGACGCCAACCTCCATTTCATCCATCTTGCCCCTATGCGGTGAGTGACGTCCTTGTCGATCTATCCGTCCCCCTGAATCGGCGACCCAAGGTACTTTAAGTTGTCTCTCCTAGGGACGACCTGTAACCCAAGCCTCACATCCCCGTCTACATCCCCCGACTCAGAACTAAACTTGAACTCCATGTACTCCGTCTTACACCTGCTCAATTTGAAACCCTTAGAATCGAGAGTCTGCCTCCAAACCTCCAATCTCTCGTTAACACTTGCCCTCGTCTCGTCAATTAGAACGATGTCATCAACAAACAACATACACCATGGCACCTCCCCTTGAATATGGCATGTCAAAGCATCCATCACCAAGGCAAATAGGAATGGCTAAGCGCAATGCCTTGGTGTAATCCCATAACAACTGGAAAATGCTCCGAGTCGCCTCCTACAGTCCTAACCTTAGTCTTAGCGTCGTCATACATGTCCTTGATCGCTCTTATGTAGGCTACCGGTACGCCTTTCACCTCAAGGCATCTCCAGAGCACCTCTCTTGGAACTTTATCATACGCTTTCTCCAAATCAATAAACACCATATGTAGATCCTTCTTCTTATCCCTGTACTATTCCACCAGCCTCCTAATAAGGTGGATAGCTTCCGTGGTGAGCGGCCTGGCATGAACCCAAATTGGTTGTCGGATATAGACGTCGTCTTTCTCACCCTCAGTTCCACCACCCTCTCCCAGACTTTCATGGTATGGCTAAGTAACTTGATACCTCTATAACTGTTACAACACTGTACTCGACCTTTGTTCTTGTACAATGGGACCACTGTACTCGACCTCCATTCCTCCGGCATCCTTTTCGTCCTAAAAATTACGTTGAACAACCTAGTCAGCCATTCCAAACCTGCTTTACCCACATACTTCCAGAACTCAACCAGGATCTCATCTGGCTCGGTCGCTCTACCCCTACTCATCTTACGCAAAGCCCCCACGACCTCATCAACCATAATGCGCCTGCAATACCTAAAATCTCGGAGACTCTCTGAATGCCCCAAGTCCCCTAGCGCGATATCTCGGTCCCCATCCTCATTTAGAAGACCATAGAAGTACGTCTGCCATATCTGCTTAATCTGGGGATCTCCCATCAAAACTCTTCCATCCTCATCTTTGACGCACCGTACCTGGTCCAGATCTCGGGCCTTCCTCTCCCTTACTTTAGCCAGCCGAAACAACTTCCTTTCCCCTCCTTTCTCCCCTAATTCCTCGTATAGACGGATAAACGCTGCATTCTTGGCCTCTGTGACCGCTTGCTTTGCCTCCTACCTAGCCACTTTGTACCTCTCCCTATTCGCTCTCCTCTCCTCCTTGCTCGAGCTCCCTGTCAACTCCGCATACGCTACCTTTTTCGCCTCCACTTTACCTTGGACTATGTCATTTACCACCAGTCTCCTTGGTACCTGCCAGAAGAACCCTTCGATACACCTAGCACCTCTCTGGCCGCCTGCCTCACATAGTTCGCCGTAGTTGACCACATAGTGCTCGCGTCTCCACTACTCCTCCACCCTCCCATAGTCGATAACCGCCCATCCAATTCCTGGGCTTTATCCTTGGTTAAAGCGCCCCATCTAATCCTTGGTCGGCCATGAGAATATCTCTTCTTCCGCTTCATTACAATGCCAATGTCCATCACTAAAAGCCTATATTGCGTCGTTATTCAGTTACACTATTTTCTTTCTCTTTTACTTTGATACATGTCATTCTCTTCTCCTATTCACAAAAAACACACTCTCTCTACTATGATAAATGTCATTCTCTTCTCTCATTCACGGAAAACCAACTGAGGGCCAAGACCACTCATCGGAATTACAGTCAGCATAATGAGAAACCCATCTAGCTTATACATAAGCGTTCAATATATTAAACACAAAAGCCATCATCGCAATACTCACCGAAAAACCACTTGCCGGCAGACGATTCTTGATTTTTCGGCGAGCAATTCTTGATTTCCCGGCAAGCTTAATTGGGTAAATAATGGTGCGATTGATGTAATGAAAAAGGTAAGGCGAAAGGAGGACCAAGGATAATGGGGGGTTGTAATTTTGCCCAAACGAAAAGAGGAGATTTGCTGCAATAGCAGATTCTTTATTGTGTTGTGAAAAGGATTCGTACTAACTCTGCTCACAAGAGAACAAAGCCACTTGATTGAATACGAAGGGTAAGAAGCAACTTGGTTTTCTGTTACGAAGGGCACTTGATTAAATACGAAGGGCCTTTTTGGTGAGATTCAGGATTTTTGGTCGACAGCGGATTCACCGGAAAAGTAGGGTTTGTTCTTGAACAAAGACGACAGTGTTTGGGGCGGAACATCTTGATTTTTTGTTAATATATTTCAATGTATTTTCAACGTATCACGCTGTATTTTCATATATGTCAATGTATTTATTGTCTTTTTTGTATTGTAATTCAACGTATCTCGCTATATTCCATGTATTTCATTGTATTCATTATCTTTTTTTTCATTGTATTTCAACGTACCCCGTTGTATTCTATGTATTTCATTGTATTCATTGTCTCGCTATATAACATGAATGTATTCATATATATTTTTTAATTAATATAATTTATATATTCAGATGTATTATATAATTTCTCTGAAGAGTGCTATGTTTTGGGGTATTTTTTGATTGAGAATTTTTTTATCCAAGAAAATACAAAATTTGCGTGTTATAATTGAGTTTGTTGAGTTATATTAGGAGTCTATTATGCTAATTGATTCATTTTCCGTTTAGAAATAGTGTAATCGCCTGTTTCACGCCGTGAATATCGTCGAATACAATAATCTATCCGGCTATAATCCAACGTTTCACGCCAAGAATACAGTCAAATACACTTGAATACAATAACTAATTAGATAGATTTCCCTGATTGACGCCTATTTTTGCTACTGTATTCATGAATACAATAGCTTAAATACATCTATTACGTCTTATAACAAGAAAATGTATCTACAATCCGTAATATAACAAATAGTATCTATAGATTGCTAATTACCACTAAAAACTAATTAAGACCTCATAATACAAAATATATAATATATAACTTAAACTCATTAGAGAAAACCACATTGGTTTTATTTTAAAAGAGAACCATAGTTGTTTTATCAATTTTGTGCTAAGACCTAACCATATAAATGCTGCCCAACTTTTACCCTCACAAAACTTTAAATTAAAGTAAATCAACCATCTGCTATATACGTCTTCAACCTAAACCTTTAAATTAATTAATTCTTACACAAACGGTGATTAATTAATTTCTTATTTGTTGTTGCTTTTCTAAAAAAATCATCTGTTGCTCCGTTCTTCTTTTCTTTTTTTTTTTAGAAGATTTATAAGGCTTATGGTATTGATTTTTCTTATTCTCCTAATGACAAATTAATTAACTCGTTCTTATTCAATCGCATCTCTCATTTTGCTCTTCGGAGTAATTGTTTGGCTAAAAGTTTAAGGAGTGCTTTTTAAGCTCAAGAACAATCGATATTTGTAAATGAGGGTAAATCGGAACCAAATATAATAAGCTTTAGAGATAATGGTGGAGTTAATTCAAATCGATGATGACTTTGAGTCGATGGTTTAGTAGATGTGATGATCGATTTAGCAATAGTTTAATTGATAGCTTGAGCAAGATAGAGATAGAGAGAGTAGTATATTCTTTATTTAAAAATACACATGGATCTTACATAGAGTACGAGGTCTCCTTTATATACTAGGAGCCTCTCCTCGAGATACTAAAAGAGTAGTACAATGGTTGGTCGCCTCAGAGTACGGATGTGTCAGAGCCTGCAACGTCGCTGTCACAGGTCTTGTCACCGTCACTATTTTCCTCACGTATTGAGATACTATTGATTTCAGTCCAATTGAAGTATATTATTTTGTGGACTCAGCTATTTTTATACTCATCTCGAGTTTATAAGGATATTTTTAATATTGATGAGCTGAGCACCATTGTTTTACAGATGCCCAAGGGGCTTATGATTATTTTCTGGACTGATTGAGGCCAAGGGCCATCTGTGAGGAGATGTTGAGTGATGTGAGGAGGTTTTCAGGCCTCGAGTGATATGTGAGGAGGTTTCCAGGCCTCGAGTGACATGTGAGGAGGTTTTTAGGCCTCGAGTGATATGTGAGGAGGTTTCCAGGCCTTGAGTGATATGTGAGGAGGTTTCCAGGCCTCGAGTGACATGTGAGGAGGTTTTCAGGCATCGAGTGTGATGTGTGAAGGCTTTCAGGCCTATTGTTATTGCGCTTGGGCTGTAGGAGCCCCTCCGGAGTCTGTACACACCCCCAGTGAGCGCAGGATACCCAGATGATATTGATATTTTGCCCGAGAGGCCGTTACTTATGAGTGATGAGTCGGAGTGAGCCCTTGGGGCAGATGATGAGTGATGATATGATTATTGAGCCCGAGGGGCAACCATGTTTTGTTCCTTACTATTTTGAAAAGAGAATTATTTGTTATGAAATGTTTACACTGCTGCAGGTAGAATTATTATGTGCATTTCATTGGATGTCATACCGTCGGTTGTTATTTAATTTTATTACCACTGGGTCGGCGTACTCACTTTACTCCCTGCACCATATGTGCAGATACAGGTAGAGCTGATACGGCACCTGAGCGTTGATTGCATCCAGTCAGGACTGTGTCGAGGAGTGACGAGGTAGCTGTTGACGTCCGCAGCCCCGTTTTCTCCCTTATACTTTGTCATTTCAGTTATTCCAGACTTGTAAATATTTATATTCTCTGTAGTAGCTCATGACTTGTGACACCCCGATTACGGGCTGAGTCGGGATGGGTTTTGTTATACTATCATGCCTAAAATGCTTTTGGAAATATATTACATGTCGTTTAAGTATTTGAGTTATGCATTTTGAGGTTGGCTTGCCTTGTCTTCACGAGAGGCGCCCTCACGACCAGGGTTGGTATTTTGGGTCGTGACACACTGTCTCGTCAACGACCTCCTAGCACCACCGGCGACAGTCCGTCGACCACCCCAGTTGCTGCTTCATCGAGTTGCTGCCCTAGCTGCTCGTTTCTACTCTTGCTTCATCCATTTTCGTCTTAACAAACAGTCCATTTATCTCCAAGAGTTTNAGTTGGTATCAGAGCGTAGGTTTGCTAGGTCTCGCGAGTCATGAGCTGGGTTAGTAGAGTCTTGTGGATCGGTACGGGGACGCCTGTATTTATCCTCGAGAGGCTGCAGTACCTTTAGGAAAACTTCACATTTTTTTTGGAATTCTTGTCGTGCGTACTTGATTCAGCTTGAAGAGAAACTCTTGAAATTCCTTCCTCACGTTTGTATGCACACATGAGCGTTATGTGCCTTGATGGCTTGTAATTCCCGATCGAGGGGCGAAATGTAATTTCTATGATTCGATGTTGGGCCAGTCTGGAGGACTTGGGGCCAAATCTTTGTCAATGGCTTGAGCACTAAGATGCTGATTTTGCGGATTGGTATTATGAACTGATATGTTCGGTATCGTCCCTAATTGTGGGAATGACGACTGGATAGCTTCGTGATGAGTATATTGATGTTGTGTGGTGTGTCTATATGACTTGAAAATGTCGAGGAAGGTATGATGAAATACTGAATTGAGGCGAAGCAGGTGGGATATCTCCTGTGGGGTGTCCTTCAATGGTATGACCCTTATGTGCATGTTAGAAGATCTTAAGTGTAATTGAAAGGTATTTTTCCATATGTTATGATTCGAACAGGTACAACGCATGCTCAGGTATCAATTTTGGTAATATATAATACATGTAACATTGGGATTTCTGTTATTGATACACATTGTGATATTTTGTCCAGTTGTGGACATGTTGTTAGGATGGTTTTGGTGGTTCTCTGACAGGTGGATAGGCCCAGTTACAAAGGAAACTCTGCTGAAATTTTCAAAAAATCTGGGACTTAGTAAAAATATGGTCGCCTTAAGAGTGGGCTTAACAATTATGTGAATGAATGCAAGAATTGTAGAAGAGTTAAAATTTCAGATGATTCGTGTTCCGCGAGCATATGATGGAGTGAGTTTAATCTCACCATAGTATTACGGCAGTAGTAGAGTATATGAGTTGTGATCTATGGCTTCGAGCCAAGTTGGGAAGCTTGATATGGGTTAGCAAATTGTACAGTTATGTACTATGATTAGTGCTGATTTCATGCATGCTGGTGAATCAGTTATGGTTGTGGAAATTTGGCTGAGAATGGCACAAATGAATGAAAGTTTTTGACAAGATGTCATGAGCTCGATTGAGCATGAGATAAGTTTCGATATTTACGGCAAGTTGGCATTATCTTCGAGGTCACCTATGATCGGTGTTTTGTAAAAAGGGTTTTGCGCCCTGGTCAATGATTCTTGATCGCTCTTCAGCGTTAGTGCGACTGGTGGTTTGGAGGTACGCTCCAGATATTGTTGTGGTTGGTTGTGGGAGTGTGTCCCACGAGAAAATTATATAAGTGTGGCACGTGATCACTTGAATTATTAAAGATGCAAACCAAGTATGAAGCATGTGATGGTGTTACTAAATTAATAATTATGCCTGGAGTGCACTTGGTATATTGGGTTGCGAAATGGGATAGTTACTCCAATTACGATGGTTATGCTCGTGTGTTATGGAAAAAAAATGAAATTTATTATG